CAGTATTCAAATAGAAAAACAAAGGATTAACCATTTTGGAATTCATCTGATGGACGATCATAGTGCTAAACCATTAATTGGTTCAATCATGTGCAACAAATCATTAGGAAAATAAGAGTTCAAGGACAATAGTTTTATTCGGATAGGTTAACCAAACTGAGCAGTGCAAAAGGAAATAAAGGCTACATTTCTTTGTGGTAACAATAGCGCAGAGGATAAGTATTCCATTATAGATGGCATTCTGAGTGAAAAACACAACTGAAACTTGGAAGAAATTAGAAAAAGAAAGTTTAAGTGCCCTGGTTATAAAATGACAAAGCAATATAATAGATCAATATACTCAAATGTTAAAAAAGAGAAAGAAAAGATTGTGGCAAAATCTAAAATATAAGCTCTCAAAAAAACAATGTGACCTGTGGTTATCAGCTTATAGGAACTTTTGGGAATGCCATGCATTCAAAAAAGAGCAATGACCATATTTATAGGTTTTATATATACACACATATTTAAATCTTTAATTTAGTTTTGCTACTTATGAAGGACATTGTTTTATCTTATTGATAAAAGGGGACACTTGACTACAGAACTGGGGATAAGTATAATAATTAACCAGTCAGGTAGAAATTGGCCTGGGGAAATGCTGACTGTATAACAAATGAAACAGAATGAACATCCTTTATTTTAGGGGAATGATGCTTTCATAAAACCTATCCTGCCTTTTTAAAAATATAGCAGAAAAATAATCAAGGGAGAAAAACTGAAAGACATAGCATGTTTATCATGGGGAGAGATAAGAAACAAAATGAAGGTAACATTTGGAAATATGAACCATATTCTCCAACAGCTGCATCATACTTTATGCGGTGTATTAGGAGCTAGACTTGTAATGTGTGTGGAGTTGAGATCCATTTGGGCATTTAGAATTTTTAAAGGATGAAATGGATACCTTAAACCTTGCAGATTGCCCTTGAAACTGCAAAATTGGACAAAAATGCAATAAAATAAAAGGATCCAATATTTTTGGCTCCATTTTTGCACATTGACCTTAAGAAAATGTGCAGATCTGATTTTTGAATATTAATTTAAGAGGGAATACGAAAAGGAACTAGTAGTGGGAGCATTTGTCATTCTAGAGAACTACACAAAGGGGTGGGATTCTACTGGTTTGGACCAGTTCGGGCGAACCGGTAGCTCTGACAATGAACTGAGAGCAAACTGATTCCCCCCTGAGTTTCAGATGGGCCCAACCGCCTGCCAGCGCTATTTTCTTACCTTTATCTTCTCAGCTGATTCGCGTGGCAGAGCAGATTGTCGCGCGAATCAGCTGTGTTACTCCTCCAAAGAAACCTGGAAGTGAAGATTTCTTAAAACTGCATATGCGCATGTGCAAAGCACATAATCACTGAACCGGTTATTAAACCAGGAGGATCCCACCAATGACTACACCTATCATTTTACTCTACACTGAAGCAAAAGCAGCATATAAGCCCATAATGTCAGGGAGCCTTATTTGAAGAGCCTAGGATTGTATAGAATAATAACATAAGTGAGAAAATACAATCTGTAATGCAGTAAAAATTAGTTACATTTATTAATAAATCTGAAAAGTCTCCCATGGTAGTAATATTTATGGTGACCCAATTACATTACATATCATCCAATTGAACCAGTAGAAATTCAGATAAGAAGAGAGGTACCATTTCATTAAGTGGCCATATATCAACTGGGACATAGCTGGTCTATAAAACAGCAACAATATCTTCCCTGTGGAAATTTGGAGTTCATTTATAAAGAATAAAATGTTTAAAGGCATGAATGTTATAAAAATAAATTGGATCCCAAGCAATAAAGGAGTTTCTAAAATAGGTATGATATTTAGGAATAATACATGTGTACACTCTATCCCTTCAAATAAATTATTAATCATTGTTCATTTTACCCTATCTCAGTGGTTCCCAATGTGGGGCCCATGCCCCACAGAGGGGGAATTTGATTTTTAATGGGGGCAATTTGAACCTTGTTTAAACCAAGTTAATGGCCTTTTAGGCTTCCTCTGTGTGAGTAGAGTTCACTTTTTGAGTAAAGTAAGCATTTTATGTAACGGGGTGGGGGTGGGGATCAGGATTTTAGAGATGCTTAGGTGGGGCATGGTAAAAAAAAGGTTTGGAACCATTGCCCTAACTCAAAACTTTTGCCATGTTATCTAAAACAGAAGGATGCGATTTTGAGTATCCTGTATGAATCAATTATTAAAATCTAAAACAGCACTTTATATTTTGAAACAACAAATAAAACTAAAATTGTTAAGGAAATGCATATAATATTCAGATATGTCACAGCTGACATATATTAAAATATTGAAATCAGCAGCAGTGTTAGGCAACAAAAAACAACCAATTGTAGACATTTATATAATGGGAAAAGAACAACATAGCTGGTGTGAAGCAAATGTAAAATATGCCTCTTTCTTCATGCAGTTACTGATAGTTTACATGCTTGTTGGAAAGTATCCCGAGCAATGAGATTGGGCAGCAGGATTTTCGTTGGTATTTTAAAGAAAAAAATGCTTTATGCCCAAATATACATGAATCCTGGAGCAGCTGAATGTTGTCTACACTAGCAGATCCCAGTGATCTCCAGAGGATCAGTCAGGAATCTCTTCTAGGTGACTTTACAGATTCTAGCAAGATAATGCAACACTTTTACCATGTTTTCCCGAAAACACGACCTGTCCTGAAACTAAAGCCTTGCCACATATTTCGGGTGGTCAAAAATATTAGCCCCTCCCAAAAATAAGTCCCCTGGACAACCCCCCCTCCGGCCAGGCAGAGCACTGCTCACCAACCTAGCAATATCCCGAAGGCGCCAAGCTGCGGGAACGAGGTGGGGGCAAAGGCGCTCACAGTGCTTGGTGCTTTCGGGGCACTGCTAGATCAGTCAGCGGCGCTGTGCCCAGCTGAAGAGGGGGGGTTTCCAGGCAGCTGCTCTCTTGCGAACAGGTTCCTGAAGCCTCAGGGTCAAATGGCTGTGTTGCACTGTCACAGCAGCAACACAGCAGCCATGAGATGACCATGCTCGCGAGCAGCCACCCGGCAACCCCTCTTTCCAGCCCGGCACAGCGCCACTAACCGACCTAGCAGTACCCGGAAGGCACCAAGCAACACGAGCGCCTGTTTGCCTCCCACGGCTCGGCGCCTTCGGAATGCCCCTAGGTGAGTGAATGGGGCTTTGCATGGCTGGAGAGGGGGTTGCACGAGCGGCTTCTCCACTCCCTGCTCGCGCAACTTGCAGGCTCACGATGCCCTTGGCTAACTGTACAGTACATGCAGAGCCAGGGCATCTCCACTGCTGGCGCTGCCCTCCGCTTGTTTTTTTTTTTTTTCAACTTTCAAAGCATGAAGGACGGATGCCACTCTGGAAGTATGCTCTATGGTTGTGGGCTGCAGAGCGTACAACCATAGAGCATACTTTCAGAGCAGCATCTGTCCTCCGTTGTGGCTTTTAAAGCACGGAGGTAGGATACTGCTCTGGGAGTATGTTCTATGGTTGTACGCTACCAAAGAGTGTACTTCCAGAGCGGCATCCATCCTCCATGTTTTGAAAGCCACAAAAAAACCCAAGCAGTGGGCAGTGCCAGCAGCGGAGATGCCCTGGCTCTCCAGGTACTGTAGAGTTAGCCAAGGGCATCGTGAGCCAGTGAGTCACGCGAGCGGGGAGCAGAAAAGCTGCTCGGGCAACCCCCTCTCCAGCCATGCAGAGCCCCATTCACTCACCTATGGGTATTCTGAAGGTGCCGAGTCGCGGGAGGTGGAGTGTGGCGAATAGGTGCTCGCGTTGCTTGGTGCTTGCGGTTACAGCTAGGTCCGTCAGTGGCGCTGTCTCCGGCTGCTCGCAAGCGTGGTCACCTCATGGCTGCTGTGTTGCTGCTGTGCCCGACTCTTCTGGAGCCCGGTTGCAAGGGAGCAGCCACCCGGCAACCCAAAAATAATAAGCCCTCCCTTTTAATAAGCCCAAGGTCATATTTCGTGTGTCAAAAAAATATAAGACCCTGTCGTATTTTCGGGGAAACATGGTAGCATATATATTATGTACATTAATACTAGGTTCCCCCAATTCTAATTAGCTCCTTATTTAATAAATTCTCATTGGATAGTTTGAAAGGCCTGTGTAATTTGCTTTTGCATGGATACACAAAGACACATCTAACTTTGAAATGTCCTCAACTCTTTTCTAGACCAAATACAGTGTCAGGAGGAAGAATAGGGTTAGTTATTTTTTTAAAAAACCTATTAATTTTTGAAGCATTATTATGGGGGGGGGGGAACCTACTGAGATATATTTTAAAAAGGTAATAAGACCTTTAAAAAAAACAACCCACAGTTATTAACAGAGATGATATTGCTCCTGACCACATAAGATTGCAAGACCAGTTGTTATTTTATCAGAATATTCTAGTTAATGTTACGTGTTCCGAATTTGTAACTCTACTGTCATTATATTAATAGAGAAGGCAATCTGGCACTCCAGGAATAAAATTATAAATTGCAGGGTGTTATTTCTTCTTAAAACTTGCCTACGAATGTCTACTTAAACAAAGAATTTTAAAAGGCACATTGTTTTCGTACAGGTCATACATACAGAATATAATTTTAAGCATCTCTAATTCTGTCCTTTTCAAAACCTCCCAAAATAAAAACCAGCAGATTGTAGGGAACAGCAGAGTTTTAGGCAATCATTTTAAACAATATAATTTAGAGAGACCCAGAGCTAAATTAATATAATTAAAATAGCATTTAAAATACTTCAAAACAGTCTGTCACTGTTGTAAAAAAAGATTCTATCACAAGGGTGAATAAAATATATGCTCTGATACATTACTGCATGTTACAATTCAAGAAATTACTTTATCTGTACTGCAAAGTAACTTTACATGTAAACTTCAGATTCTCTAGCAAACTCAAGAGCATCCCTGTTTTCCTTCCAATGTAAACAATAAAATATAGGGCTTAGAAAAGAATATTTTAATAAAATATTTTAAAAACAGCACATATAAGCATTTAATGTCTTCTTTTGATCTCTTACAGATGAGCAAACCTTTCTACATCTTTGTTCATGTGGGGAAAATGCCATTATTGCCCCTAACAATTAATTTTTTCTAAAAAGCATACTTGAATTTCTTTATACTATACTCAGTTTCTATATGATAAACATACAATGCAAAATCTCCATGTTACAAGACAATTAAACAGTCTATATTTTTTCCCACCCTGATTCTCAAAATGAGTTTTGCCCTTGGCAAATACACAGAATGATTATGGCATCAGAATTTAATAAAACAAGAGCCAAACTTCTGTGTTGCTGGAAGACTCTTTCCTGTTGCAATGGGCTTACTTAGTAATATAGGTTTTAAAAAAAACTGCCAAGAGGAAAAGCTTCCAGCAAATGGGGGTTATTCTTAAGGAGTGCAAACATGCAGGGTTGTTAAGTGTAACATTCACAATAAGATCAGAGTCATAATTACCACCTATATTATCTTGCATCTTTCAGTTCAAATTTTAAACTGATCCACAGTTTACAGCTTTGATTCCAATATTGTAGGTTCCAACATGCACATAGATTTTCCTTCCCTTTCCACAATATCTTTTTCGCATTCATTCTATTTCAGCTAATATCCACAGAGAGGTGTTGTTGCAATGCACATTGAGTAGGAGCTGATCTATTTTAGTTATTATTAGTTAATTTATATCCATTTTTGCACACTCATACACACATACAGTCTCACACACACATACATGTCAGAAATAGCTAAAACTATGCTGGGCATAATCAGGCAGCTGTAAAAGCAAATATTTCACCCCAGTAAGTCATCTTTGCCAGCAGATGTAAATGGGAGGGGTGGGGTGGGGGCTGCTTTCTGCAAGAGAGAGAACGAGTTCCTTTTAAAAGAAGCTTTCTTAAAGACCCTTTACACACTTGTAGCAATTTGCTTCTTCTTCCAGACCTTATACAGTCCAAAAGAGCATTAGGTTACGTTAAGATGTTGGCAATAAAGTCCAAGAACCGTTTTGAATACTGTTCAGGATTAACTGTTGAAATCTCTGCACCAGCCTGTAAAACCAGAAGATGATGATGATGAGACACAAATTAAATGTAAAAGTTTAGGCCATTTTACATCTGTATTTCCCAATCTGGTGTTGTTCATTTATGCTCAGCTATTCCAATTCCTAGCTTAGGATAGAAGATTGTCTAAGTATACTTTCCTTTGTGCCCGAAGGCTCCACAATCTATCCAATTTTATTTTTCAGAATCTTTTTTTAAATGAAAAACTAGCATGCATCTCAAACATATTCTTTATTTCAAAGAATGCTTTGAATGCTATTACCCTTAAGCATTCATTGAAAACAAAAATAATAAGGAATAGCAAATAGCAAATAGTTGATTGGTTAGGAAGAGGGAGAGGAAAGGAAGGAGGGGAGGAGGGAAGGGAAGGGAGAAGAGAGATGAAGGGAAGACGCTGAGGTAGAACCTCCTCAAATACACTTATTAAATAAAATACAGAGAAATTGAAGGAAGCATTTATTCATTCAAGATCTATTTATTCCAATCTTTTATCTTATTCTAATATAATTGCACTTTTATGTGAATATTAATTAATTAATTAATTAATTAATTAAATTTCTAGGCCGCCCAATCCCGGAGGACTCCGGGCGGCTTACAAAGAAAGAAAAAAGAAAAGCAAAATAAAAGAATAATTTAAAAATTCCCAACACACATACATTTCTAATCGGGGCTGGACCTTTACAATAAGGTCAACAGCCCCAGGCCTGCTGGAACAGCCAGGTTTTAACAGCTTTTCTGAAGGCCATGAGAGTGGGTAAGGTCCGGACCTCTGGGGGTAGCTGGTTCCACAGGGTTGGAGCAACCACAGAGAAGGCTCTCCTCCGGGGCTCCGCTAGCCGACATTGTCCGGCTGACGGCATCCGAAGGAGGCCCACCCTGTGGGATCTTATTGGCCGTTGGGAGGTGTTGACTGTCATATAATAAGGCATGCCCATTTACAGTACATTGAATTTTAAAATTTTGATTTGGTACCGGATTAAAAAAGTATATTCTGGTGCCCTGAAGAAGACAGGATGAAAATAGTACCATAAACTTTGTGTGGGCTTAAATTACTTATTTACCTTTAAATAAAACCCAAACCCCCATTCTCTCCATAGGGGTCCTAGGCCTCCCTTTGAGAGAAGTTTGAGAGAAATCTTCAACATGTTTTCAAAAGTTGGGGTGATTCTTGAAGCAATGGAAATTACATTCTCTATTCTGCAAGGAAGATTCTACTTTACAGATCTTCAAACTATTCCAGAAATTATTTAGGGTTTATAATAGCCTAGTTATAGGAGTTCCATAAATAAAAGAGAAAATCCCTTCAGAAGAAAATGTAATTTGATGAACATGGTTCATTCTCACGCAATAACACATTTCCAAAGTTAACTGAGCCATACTGGCATGACTGCTTTGTGGGGCAAAGTGGTAACACCTCTCACATCTGATCTCTCCTCATTGTAGACAGATATAGAGAGCCAGGGGAATGTAAGCATCTTTATTTGAAAACCCTTTAATGATCCAACCCTTGAAAATCCTTGACAGGACCCTGCAACGGAGGCCTACTCACCCCGTGTTTCACAGTTTTTGCAGCATGGGCAGCCTTCTTTTTGGCGTCATAATGAGTAAGAATGTCAATAATAGCCATGAAGTATACCTCTTTTCTAGCTGCATCTGTGGGGAAGAGAGTAGGGAAGAGATGGGGAAATAAAATTAAATGGTAGCTAGGGAGATTGTTAAATAAACAAATATAAATTGAGATAACTGCTTCAACAAATTCACACTTTGAATTTGAACCCACATAATCAGTCTGAACAAAAGTACCTCAAGTCTGACAATAGGAAGTATTGTGATGATATGTTACACGTTTGGGGAACGAGTTCAAATATAAAACATTTTATTAAACCTCTTAAAATCAGCTGTACCTAGCCATAAAAGGAAGGTAGAATTCAGCACTTTTTATTCTATTTATTTGATTTATACAGCCACACATCTCACATATGTGACTGTAGGTGGCTTATAAAATTAAAACTTAATCTTAAACTGCAAGAAAATCCATGCAAATTCCACCAATAAATGTTTATATTGCAATGGTTTGATAGAAGACAAGATATGAGTTCCTAATAGTTTAAAATCAGATAGGTCCTGATTGCAAAGTATATCAAGGTGATAAGGTACCAGAAGGAAAAACCTGAGAAACATTTGGAGGGGTTAGGTATGTTTAGTCTGAAGAAAAGACTGCAAGGATATAGGACAGCTGTCTTTATCTATCTGAAGGGCTGTCAGGTACAAGATGGAAGAATTGTTTAGAGTTGTTCCAGAAGAGAGGAAAAGAAACAGTGAATATTAATATTAGCTGGACATCTGGAGAAATTTCCTAATGCAAAGAGGTTCAACATGGAGAAGATTATTCAGGATGTAGGGAACTTCCCTTGGCTGAAGATGCTTAAACAGAAGCTGGATGGCCATCTTTACAGATGCTGCATTAGTGGATTCATATATTGGGTGGACATTATTCTAGATAACTTCAATAATCCTCCCTGCCTCCAATTTCGTACATCTAGGATGCATTTTGAATAATGTAACAGAATGAATTACTAATATCACATGTATGTTATATCCTACAGAGCTGACTTAAAGAGAAATATGTGTTATGTTGATTTGAGCCAATGTTCTTCTCCAAGAATCCCCTGATGTTTTCTTGGCAAGATTTTGGAGTTTACTTTCCTTGCTTGCTTTCTAGGCTGAGAAAAAATGGTTGGCACTGTGTTTTTCTGGCTATATGCCTAAAGTAGGACTAGAACTCACAATCTCCTGGTTTCTAACCTAATGCTTCATCTACTACCCCAAACTGGCTCCTAAGTTAATGCATATATAATGGTTTCATTATTTGAAATGCTAAACACTAGGGAGCCAAAATTTTTAAAAAGGCAATTCTTCTCCAAAGAGTGGTTTTTTTTGTTAGTCAGCTTCCTTTAAAAGATGGTTTGAAATCCTTTATTTTGTTAAAAAATTTATGAGGGCTTCAGTTCTGACCCATCTACTAAAGAAAATGATTGGGACTGAAAGAAGTTGGAGCACACATCTACATGTTTAAGCAGTGTTGGATACTAAGAATGTGAAGAATGGGTGTATATATGATGTATCATACTTCTGACTCCTGTCTTAATTTTCAGAACTCTTTTGCATTCTACAATTAATCTGTAATCATAATTGGAAGAAAGCTTCAACAAGGTTAAATAGATTGCTTCTGAGTAGACTTACATGTCTGTCACAAATACATTGACAATGGAGAAAAGATTTAACAAAAAACATAAATATGCTATTTATTTTGCTTTAATATACAATACTTGGGTTAAATCTGCTAATTTTGAAATGCTATATGAACACAGACCAAGAGATCAACACAAACCTATTTACATTATCATTGTTGAGCACAATTTTTTAAAAGAACAATTTTCTAAAGAAAAGAAAATAGAAAAAAAATTGTGCTCAAAAGTAATAGAAATAGGTTTGTGTTAATCTGGAATATGGAACTGAGCTTCTTTTCTGCAGAAAAGACTAAAAATTTTGGGAAATATGCCAAAGCAATGGCTTGCTTTTTCTTTCTATTCACCCACACCAATAGCTGTGGTTTATTTGACAATACTTAAAACAGTATTGTTTAGTAAATAAATTTTCTAAGTAAAATAAAAATACTTCTTCTGGGGTACTAACTAAGCATTTCTTAACTTTTCCATTTCCCTGAGCTGCAGAAAATAATTCTATTTGCCATCAAGTATGGATGTTTATGATGGAATAAATAAATCACATTATTATGGCCATGAGCTGTAGATTTTATGTCCTTGTACTTTATTTTAATTTTATTGTGTTTTATTGTTTTATTATATTTATTATTTTATTGACTTGTCTTCAGATTCGATTTGGCATTTTTGTCCATCTATTGAGTCCTACCCTTGGATAGGCAGATGTGGATATTTGATGGTATTGTTGCAGAATGTAAGCTATTCTGTATAAAGCTGCCTTTTGTAATTGATTGATGATGAATTTGTCAATGCTGATGGTGTTCAAATGGTGCACTAGATCAGCAGTCCTCATCTTTTTTGATACCAGGGTCTGGTTTTGTAGAAGACAATTTTTCCACAGACCAGTGAGGATGGTTTTGATTTTCCTCACTCGCCCTCTGCTCACTTCCATCGGTGGCCAGTTTCTAATAGGCCACAAACCGTTAATGATTGTAAGCCGCCCTGAGTCCCCTCAGGGAAAAGGGCGGCCTATAAATCCTAATAAACAGAAATCCTAATAAACAGATACCAGTCAGTAGTCCAAGGATTGGGAACTCTCGTTCTTAGAAATTGAACCTAAGGTTCCAATTACTATTGATGCTATCTTTACTTTCTTTTGCCCCAGTGATTCTACTCTATTTGTAGATCTTTGCGTTTTTGATTTTCTCATGTTGCTTATATCTTTACAATTTATATTGTTTTATTTCTTTCCTAATATGATTTGATTGCTTATTAGTAACCTATGACTATCACTAAGTGTGGTATCTTATGATTCTTGATTAATGTATTCTATTTTATTTTTTTATGTACACTGAGAGCATCTGCACCAAAGACAAATTCCTTGTGTGTCCAATCACACTTGGCCAATAAAGAATTCTATTCTATTCTATTCTAGTCCATTCCAAATTTCTTTTCTTTTCTTTTCTTTTCTTTTCTTTTCTTTTCTT